TTGTTGTTGAAATGATGCCTACAATTACGCCAAAATTAAACTAATTCCATAAGAGCTAGATGTGCCGGTTCTGCATTTTCTCTAAAAGTTTTTCAAACATTTTTTTTGAAAGGTCCTTCTTCAAGATAAGATCACCACTTCCAGGATTGGTCAAAGTATTTATCAAAAAAGTACAAAGACTTTTTATCATCAAATCCATAATGTGAAAAAAGCTTCTCCATCCAAAATAAATCATATACTCCTTCTAAAAAGGAGAATCATTTTTTACTTGTCTAAAAAAAAGGGGACAAAAAAACTAATTGTTTCCTGTTTGCAAAAATTAAAAAGAAACACATTTAAACAAGAAGAAACATATTAAAAGGACAAGAACATGAAAAGAATATGTCAACAATAAGGAAAAATTCTTACGGTATGAAACTCATACATGAGCAGTTCTAATCCTATTGTGCCTAAGCCCTCATAAAATTTTAAATCCAAAGTATCATCAACTTATCAAATACTTTATGGGGAGATTTCTTTAGCACATCTAGAATCATCTTATGCAAGATCCTTACATAATTTTCTTTGTTCTCTCTATTTTCTATAGAAAAAAGAAACAACAACATTAACTAAAAAGAAATAGAGCTAATTGAAATAAGAAAAATAGATATTGAATATTACGTACCAAGATATTTCATATTATAAAACTTTCCTTCACCATTAACAATTGCTATGCCATCTACCCAATTACCATGAAAAAAATTAGGGTAGAATTTTCTCAATGACTTGAAAATACCTCTGCAAAGAAAACACAAAAATAAAAAATAAAAAGAATACATAAGTAATAAATGACTATACAAATAGATATACTAACTAGAGTAAATTTTCAAACTAAATGTGATATACTCAAACCATCTCTCTAAATCTCCACTATAGCTTTGATAGAAGGAGGAGTATAAAACTTTAAAATATTGCCTTCAAGATAACAAAACACTCACCTATGAAAAATACTTTGACGACAACTTCAGGAAAAGCATTTGATATATACCATTAGTATTGAACAGTATTACTCTTTAATGCTTCTAAAATACTACAACTTATTTTTTTCTTCAAAGGAGTTGTTCTCAATGTATATCCTATATACACACCATTTGGACTTTCATTTTACAAATCCTATATTCAAAATTGGATTTTATTTTCTAAGGAAAAAAATAAAATATGTGAGAATATAAAAAAATGAAATTAAATTTAGAATTCAAAGGTTAAGAAATATTTTTTAAAAAAATTAACATCTACAATGAAGGTTTACTTGAATGTTACCAAACTTAGAATTCAAAATTTTAGATTCTATGATTCAATGATAGGATAAAAATTTGATAAACAACTAGGATGTTTATATAATGCAAGACAAAGTTGAGACTCCAATATAAAAAGTAGTCTTGAATTTGAAAATGAAACATCAAAGCATATTTAGAATTCAAATATAATCTTTTCACTAGATCAATTATTTGGAACATAATATGTAGCATAATAATCATATGGAAGGGAAGAGAGGAAAAAGGAGAATAGGACAAAGAGAAAGAAATGAAAGAGAGACAAAGAGAAGGCCTAGTTATATTATTTTAAAAGCATTTACAATAACCTCTTATGTGTAATCAAAAAAAACAAAGAAATAAGTTGTTAAGTGAGTTAGTTATCCATTGATGTTTAGCTGTTGGTCATTTTAGGTAGCCTTAGAGCCTGACTCTCTCCTACATAAAGGCTGTATGATTGTACTTAGTTTCTTATTCTTAATGAAATATTCTCAAGTATTATTCTGAAACCTCTTCTCTATCTCTCAATTCTTTCTCTCTTCTTTGTCTCTCTCCTATTCTTCACCATTCTTCTCTTCCTTGTAAATTAGTAATATCAAAGCCAATGATGCTCGACTTGCATGCTAAAACTCGCCTCCAGAAACATCAAATAACTATGACAGATCACTCTGATGACCATCTTCGTGCCTTAGAAGATGGCTTCTCCAAGATGGTGAATCTTCCAGCTGTGGTACAAGCCCTTACCAATCAAGTGGCTCAAATGACCATAAAGCATAATGAATCTCTAGATGGGGAATGAGCAAGTAATAATCACCATTGAGAGCATTATCACCAAGAGCCTAATAACTACTAACCCTATACTAGCTTCATCAAAATGGAATTTCCTTGATTTCAAAGAGACAACATTTTGGTTTTCATTTTAAAATGTGAATTCAACTTTTGAAATGATAATATACTAGAAGATTGTTAAGTTACCTTAACAGGCATCCGTTTGGATGAAAAAGCCTTTGAATGGCTTCAAGTAGTAGTCTTGTAGATATAGATGCACACTAGGCTTAGCCAAAGAATGTAAAGGCGTTAAAGACTCAGTTCAAGTTTTGGTTTGAAGCACTAATGAAGGACTTAATGAACCTTTACCAAACAAGCTCTTTATATGCCTTTGATGATGATTTTGATGCCATTGCTTGCAACGTCATGCTTTCTAAAGATTATCTAGTACAAACATACACGACAAGCCTTGATCTTGGGTTTGCAGCACACATTTGTATATTTCACCCAAGAACTCTAAGAAATGCATGAGAAATCACAAGAACTCATAAGGTTAATTATCAAAAAGCATGAACCAAGGCACATAGCAATGACTCATGCAATCATTCGATGTAGTGAACTCAATATGATAACTCACAGATGAAAGAGATCACTTTTGAGCCTTATCCACATACACAAAGAGAGATGACTAGGTGGGGAAATGCGAGACCTCCATCTGGCAGCTATAGGACCCACATTTCTAAGGGTAAAAATCTCCATTTCTTAAATTTTAATTCGTTTCCATCCAAGAACAACTCTTTAATCTCTGTTCCTTCAATTTTAGTGACTAGGTCTTCACGAAGCTTTAAGATGCTAAGTCTAAATGAGGTCAAAGAATTAAGAGCCAATAATCTTTGCTTTTACTACCATCAACCCTTCTCTAGGGACTACGTGTATGCTCATACACATAAAATGCAATTACAACTTATTAAACTTAATGAAAAAATTACAAAAGATGATAATGATATGGGTCAAGATTTTGAAATCCCTAATAAGTTTGAAATCATATTAGCATAGTCAAAATGTCTTTAAATTTCCTTTCATTTAATTCAAGTGTTAGACCTTCGGCTATGAGAATCCAAGGCTATGTAGTAAGATAGATTCAAATCCTTATAGACAATATGGCTTCTCATACTTATATTGATATGGCTCTGGCTAAAAAGCTAGGTTGGAAGGAAAACACTTACCCCATAGCTGAAGTAGAAGTTGTAGGGGTGGGAATACTAATTTTTTTTTAAATGAGTTAAGTGGAGAACTCAAGATGAAGATTTTGAAAGAGATTTCTAAATTTTAGAAGTCCATATTTATATGGTTTTGGGGTTATCATGGCTCAAAACCATTCATCAAGCCTACCGGGACTTTGATAACTTGTCCGTGACTTTTTGGTATGACTGGAAGAAGTGCCGCTTGCAGCTCAAGAAATAATAAAATGTAAAATTATAGATTTGAAGAAGATTCAAGGGGATTTAGCGACTGAAGGGAAAATGTTTATAATAAAAAGTAAGAGGAAAAATTTGCTTATTTATGATGATTCTAATTACAAAGGATTATAGGATATTTATAAGAATTTAACACAGAGTAAAATACTATCTTTGCCTTTAACTATCAACTAATATTTACCTATTAAGAATAAAGAATATTTTAACAGTTTATGTTGCATCTCTTGGGAAATGGCGAAGAAGGGCTTCATTGCTTGCAAATACAAAGGGAAGAGGGTTTTGCAAAAGTTGTTTAGGGGCTATTGTCAAACATTTTTTAAGGAGCCTAAGTCTCTTTCCCTCTTAAGAAAGGGTCATGTTCACCTTATTATTTTGCAAGGTTCTAACTCTGACCCAGTTAATCTAAGGCCCTATAGATATCTAGTAGTTTAAAAGAATGCTATTAAAGACATGGTGAAAGAATTACTGTAGTCACAAGTCATTCAAGAGAGTAGTTCACCCTTTGATTCACCAATTGTGTTAGTAAAAAAGAAAAATGGGTCATGGCATATGTACATCGACTAAATATCCTAGTTCTCTTGTTGAAGAACTTTTAGATGAATTAAAAGATGCTAAATGGTTTACTAAATTAGATTTACAAGTAGGCTACCATGAGTAGTTAGTGATGCCTTTTGCGCTCACTAATGCACCTACAACTTTTCAAGATGTCATGAACAATATATTGAGGGAGTATTTAAGAAAGTTTGTCTTCATTTTTTTCCTAACAATATTTTAGTTTATAGCCCTTATTTAGAATCTCACACATAACACTTGTGTTTAGTTCTGGAAATACTGAGAAAAAATTATTTTTCTTGTGAAGGAAAGCAAGTATACTTTTGCTACAGCATAAGCAAAATGCCTAAGTCATATTATCAGGGAAAGAGTAGTCTCAATTGACCTAAAGAAGATCAAGGCAATTATGAAATGGCTTGAACCAACTACAATGAAGCAACTAAGATCCTTCTTAAGACTTACAAGCTACTATAGAAGGTTAATTAAGGGATATGGATCCTTAACTAGACCTCTTACTGATTTACTCAAGAAAAATGACTTTCAATGGTTAGATATAGGTGCTGCCACCTTTATAAAACTAAAAGAAACTTTAGTTGTAGCCCTCATTCTCACACTTCTAGATATCTCTATAGAATTTATGGTTTAAATGGATGCTTTGCAACTCTAGAAGTAGGGCAGTTTTGATGCATCAAGGTTACCTATAGCCTTTTTTAGCAAGGCTTTAGCCCCTCAACATTAGAATCTTTTCATCTATGAGAAAGAATTTCTTGGCATAATGCAAACTGTGGCGCATTGGCACCAATAACTTGAGGGAAGATGCTTCATTATTAAAATAGATTAGCAAAGTCTCAAATACTTGCTAGAACAAAAATTAAAGATAGCATTTCAAATGTATTGGGTCAATAAGCTCATGGGTTATGACTATGAAATATACTACAAAAAGGGCAATGATAATGGTGCAGCTGATACTCTTTTAAGGATGCCTGAAAATGAGGTTTTCTAAGTATCTTTCAAACAAGTTCAAATTTCCTTTTTCTAGAAATTCAAGAGTTGGTATGATGATATGGATTTGAGAGCTTTAAAAGCTCATTTGTGGTAGCATGGTGGGAAAAATGGCAGGCTAGTTGTGGGAAATACTCCAAGTGTCAAACATCAAATATTGGAGTGGCTTCATGTTAGTCCATAAGGAGGCCATTCAGGTGTGCAAACTATTTCTCAACGAGTCAAGAAATTATTCTGGTGGCAGAAATTATTTGGTCATATTAAAGATTTTGTAAAGCATTGTGACATATGTGCTAGGTACAAATATGACTCAATGGCTTACTTGGGATTGTTACAGCTTCTTCTTATTCTAAGAAAAGTTTGGGAAGGTGTAGCCATGGATTTTATTGAGGGGTTACCTATGTCAAATGGCAAGGACATAATTTGGGTAATTATTGATCACTCTAGCAAGTATGCACATGTCCTACCCTTGTCTTATCCTTTTATGGCGTCTACCTTGGCACAACAATTTCTTGGTCACATTTACAAGCTACGTAGAGCTCTAATTTAGATTATTAGTGATAGTGATAAGATTCTGCATAGAATTCAAACTTATTCAAGAAGGAAGCAGCAAAACATAAATTAGGATTGATTTCATTTTTATTTGATTTAGTGTTTTATTTAGTTTTAGATATTTCTTCAAATTTTATTTAGTTATTTAGTTATTTAGATTTTATTTAGATTCAGTATTTTATCTATTTAGATTTTATTAAGTATTTTAGATTTTAGAAGATATTATTTAATTATCTAGTTATCTAAATTTTATTCATTATTTTAGATTGTATTTAGCATTATAAATATGACTAGCAACTTAAAAGATAACATATCATCTCATTAATAAAATAGTCTTTTAAATCCTTTAGAGATACTTCTGAACATGGCTATTGGGAGAAAAAGAATGAGATTCTTGTTCTATATCATAATAAATTTATTCCTATTATTTCCAATAGTTTTTTAAGCACCTAAGAAATAGAGACCTTCTCTTTATCAGTAATTTTTGGAAGGAATTTTTAAAGCTTTTAAGGGTTGGATAGAAGCTCACTTCCTCTTATCATCCACAAATGGATGGTCAATCAAAGGTGCTTCATTACTGTTTAGAAAACTACTTGAGGTGTATATGATGGGAAAAACTTAAAGAATGGCAGAAATGACTTACTATGGCTAAATGGTGGTATCTTACCACACTTCTACAAAAACTACTAGTTATGAATTGCTTTATGGGTAGGCTCCTCCCATGCATATTCCCTATTTACCTAGAGATGTGGCTGTAGAAACTGTTAATAGGATATTTTCAGTAAGAGAATAAGCTCTTGCGATGGCAAAATATCATCTCAATAAAGTTGTCAATAAAATGAAGCAGAAGGTAGACTTGCACAGGACTAATAGAGAATTTAAGGAACGGCAGTAGGTGTTTGTTAAGCTACAACCTTGTTGCCAAATTCTTATAGCTTTAAGGATCTCTCAAAATTAGCTCCAAGGTACTTTAGGCCCTATAAAATATGCCAAAGGATAGGTCCAATGGCATACAAGTCAGAGTTGCCTCTAGAATCTAGAGTGCACCCTACTTTTCATGTATCTTTACTAAAGCTTTGCCCTGATCTGTCTATAAAGCAAAGGCATCCACCCTTAGATTGCCTGAGCCTCCTACAAATCTTACTCTAGAAATGATTCTAAATAAAAGAATGGGCAGCAGAAAGGGAAAAATTATTACTGAGGTGCTTGTATAGTTAAAGGGACATCCTGATTAAGAAGCAAGTTGGGTTTCTTTATCTAAGTTATAGCAACAACACCCTTCTTTTGTGTTTCATGACCCTTGAGGACAAGAATTCTTATGAGGTATTGATATGTAATCATAATAAACAAAGAAATAGGTTGTTAATTGAGTTAGTTAGCCTTAGAGTCTAACTCACATTGTAGCCTTAGAGTCTGACTCACGTTATAGCCCTAAAGTCTGATTCTCTCCTATATAAAGGCTGTATGATTGTACTTAGTCTCTTATGCTTAATGAAATTCTCTCAAGTATTATTCAAAATCCTCTTCTCTATCTCTCAATCCTTTCTTTCTTCTCTGTCTCTCTCCAATTCTTAACCATTCTTCTCTTCCGTATACATCAACCCTTCTCATGCCATTTTTATAGACTATAATCCCTATTATCCAATTAACCAACCACACTAAAGAAAAAAAGAACACCCCCATATAGCTATTATATAAACCATCCACTTCCTTATTAGCTATTGTGTTGTGGTACTTTTTTGTCCAACCTTATGATCATGTACCAGAGGCCCTTGGGAACACCTTCAAGGGCTTTCCTAACCTCTTTGAAGACACCAAAGGGCTGCCACCATTCAAAAAATGCCATCATCATCTTATAGTACTTCAAGAGGGTAAAAACCCCATCAACTTGAAGCCACATAGGTACCCTTCAGCTTAAAGGACTAGTGGGTTATTTGTTGTAGACATAGGTGATTCAAGAGAGTTACTCACTATTTTCAGCACTTATAGTTCTAGTCAAGAAAAAGGATGGCACTTGGGCCCAAGCATGGGGTAAAGTGCACAAGAATTCTATTAAGAAGATCTTGGTTGATGTGGTATGTGTTTTAATTGTTGTTGCTAGTTTAATGTATTTTCTACTTCATTTTGTTCTTCATAGTTTCTATTTGTTTAATCTATTTTTCTTTTTGCTAATTGTTTTCTTGTATTTTTGTGTTTCTATGAGTTTGTGTGTCAGTTTGTATTTAAGTTTTTTCAAGAATTTTTTTTTTGCTTCAACTATTGGTGTTTATAATATTTTTTGGGTGATTGATAAAATTGGCTCTTTTTTTGACAAAAAAAAAAGGAATGGAGCAAGGGAAAAGAGAAAAGAGTAAAGCTTAACAAAGCCTGATAACTACTAATAAATACTATTCAATAATAACAATTATTTGCACAATATTACCCACTTATTTCTTACCTCAAATTGAGAATTTGTTTTTGCATTTTGAACTTTAGGAAGCTCATTTTTAATTATTGACGAAGATACCTCTTCATTTTTTATGTAAAAAAACAATATAACAACAATTACTAAAATATGCCCTTCTATCGAAGAGTCATTTAAATTGAATACCAAAAAGATGTACAATTACTCATTCCATCCATTTTCTAGATAACTCTATTAGCAGCAGGGTTCTTAGAATTCTTCTTTTTCTTTCCCTTCTTTTTCTTTTTTTTATTTTCCATGTCTTTACTTTTTTCTTCCTCCAATTCTTGGACAAATGTCCTCGTTTTCATTAGCTATTTCATTAGCTCTTTCAGTAGTTGTTTCTGCAAAATAAGTTTGTTAGATTCAAAACTCCATATCGCATTGAATATAAAAAATAAAAAAGTAGTATCTTCATTTTACCATTCAAAATAGCGATACCTTCAAAATAGAGTTTCGTGGCTTCTAGCCATGTTGGATGTTATTTATCCTTGTGGATTGTGTATCTATACTTGCTATTCCTTCTGTTTAGGTCATAATCAAAAACAAGTTTTCCATGTTATATTTTCACCCTTAAGAACTGCATTTTTATGATTTGCTTTATATAAAATATTTAAAAATCTGTTTCTTAATTTGTTGATTATGTTTCTTTATTTTCTCTCTTCTATTTTTGTTACTCAATTATCAAGATAAATTGTGTTGTTATTTTCTAATACCATCATTTTTTGTTTATTATTATTATTTGGGGATGTTATATATTGGAAGAATTTTTGATATTCAAATAGTAGAAATGGACCTGCTCTTTAGTAGATCTCATGGGACTCCTTAAGACAAGAATTATTTTGCTGCTTCATTCATATTGTGGAGTAATGTAAATATTTAAATATTTTCATTCTGTTCTAGATTCGCTTCACGAATCATATAGGCAAGATTCTTAATTAAATTATTTTGGGTTTGTGAGAGTGTGTGTGTGTATACTATATCAAAGTAAAACTCCAAATGTTGGTTGGACATTCTTTTAGCAAGTTTTAGATATGTCAAGTAATCCAACTTATAGGGAAGACTCTGCCAAAATTTCGACAATAAGCTTGACTATTTTTTTAATGCTAATAGTTGTTTAATACAAATGATAATTATATGATGAGATTGGATAATTAATATGTTAAACATTATATGGGCTCAGGCTTATGAAATATGAGTTTTCTTATATTCTAGCCGATCACACTTTAGAAGTTCTAGGTGTGATACAAGTTCTTAATTTTCAATTAGGGAAAGCTACAAACAAGGAAAGAAGAGGCTTTTAAGAGACTTTCAAGAAGCTCTAGACAAGGAATAACAGAATTCAAAAATTAGTTGAAACTAATATTGGAGCTCCAACATAAAAATGAGTTGCTGCATTCAAGGAGATGAGAACATTTTAGTTTGATTACATGCCCAACAAAAGCTTGGACAGCATCTTATTTGGTAAGAATTCTCAACGTATGCATGCTTTTCAAGAAGTTACTAAAACCAAATGGTATTTGTTGCTCAGCTTATTATTTGTCTTCCTCATCCATCATTGACAATTTTGTTTCAAAGGTCCTACAAGAAGCAAGCTACTAGAATGGGAGAAAAGACTCAACATAATTGAAGATATTGCTCAAGGATTATACATTCATAAATACGGAAGACTAAAAATAGTGCAGAGAGACTTGAAAGAAAGTAACATACTAGTCGATGAAAAACTGATCCAAAAAATTTCTAATTTTTGTTTATCAAGAATTATTGCACATGAATCAGAGGGAAATACTGATAGAATTGTTGGTACAATGTAAGTACACATTGGCTAAAGTCTTTTTGTTTTCTATTTAATTCTTATGCTATTTAAAGAGCTATTGCAATATATTTCCTCCTTACATTTGACTTATCAAAATATAAATATTTATGAATTATAAGCTGAATATTTTGTCATACATGAATCTAAGCCGTGGATACATGACTCTTGAATATATTTTAGGATCCGTTTGGATTTCAGTTGGGTATAATAGATTATGAAAATAATTGATTAAGTGGTAGATTTTAATCATAATTGATTATGTTATAACGCAATCTGTTTGGATACTCATGTTAGTAATTTTTTTAAAGATTCAAATTTTATTAAGAAAAAAAAGAAGAGAAAAAATTTTGTTTTAGTTTTATTAAATTTTGTGCTTTTTTTGTGATTTTTTTCTTGGACTTTTTATGTAATTTGCTCATATAACTTTGTAACAAAAAATGCAAAAGCGGAGAAGCTGAGATTTGGAGCGTTGGGAAAAAATTGATTTTTTGGGAAAAAATTGATTTTGGAAAAAAGTGGATGTTTGGGTAAATTATGGCTTAATCGATTTTTTTGCCCCTAAAATCGATTAAATCCTCAATCCAAACGGACAGTTACAATGCCAATGATCCACTGAATTTAGTGGGACATGTAAGTCAAACTATAAAAGTGTTTCCATCGTAAATTTTATACCATCAAATCCTTTATGTAGTTGGTGTTTGAAATGAGAAGCATTTAACATAACTCAAGCATGGGAGCTTTGGAAAGAAGGTGAAGCAGCAACATTGGAATTGGTATATCCAGCAATAAATGGAGTTGATAGATTAAGTGGGGAGATGCATTCATGTTGATCTATTATGTGCAGAAGAACGGCCAGTTGATAGACCCACCATGTCAGAAATTTTGTCAATGTTGACAAATGGAAGTGTCAAGCCTCCTTTGCTAAAGAGACCTGCATTTTGCTTTAGAGATCATGCTAGTGCAGTAAATTAACAGTTTACAAGGCCCATTTAGCTAATAGCTTGACCATCTCTGATTTATTTGCGGAGATAGAAATTTAATGGTTTCCAAATGAGCAGAATCATCATGTTCTTTCTTTCTTGTCTACAATATTATGGAATATGTAAAGTACAAACTTCCATTAATACACATCATAACGTATGTCGTTCATATTGCATTTTTAGTCCAAGAACTTGAATGGAGAAGATTAGCCCATTTATTCTGTATGATTATGCAGTCAATACCCCCCTTTGTATAACTTTCAGTATCAAATTATTCACATGAAGTTATGTGCTACATCTCTTGTCAAACTTTTATGTGTCATAGCTATTAAATATATCAAAGAGAGCGCATCACTTTCATAACAATACCATCGTCTCAAACTCTCAGGTTTTCAAAATGGGCGTCAAGTTATATTAGTACACATTTTATGGATTGTGGAATGATTCTCTCCGATGAAGTTATGCATAAAAAAAAAAAATCAAACTAAAAAAATTACTTTTGCTACTCCCTTGACGAGGAATTAATAGCGATCTTGAGCTTCCACCAACAATAGTTGGGACAAACTAATATTAAAAGAAAAATTTATAAAATTATGCTTAGTCATTACAAGAAATTTATATATAACTATATAGTCCACATTAAAAATTGAAGTATTTTAAACTATTTAGTATACACCTGGCTAGAAGGATCACTATCAAAACAAGGGGAAAACATATTTTGAACTTAGCATATGCCGAAAAACTCCGTTAATTAATCTCTAATCATTGAGTTTGAATACATCCACAAGGACTTGACAACAAGAATACAAGAAAAGGAAAAGGACTTGAGAGGCCGAATCAAATCCTTAATATCAAGTTTATTGCAATTTAATTAAATTTTAATGAAGTACTTGATATCAATTTTGTGGTCAAAAGTCAAAACAAGAGGGTGATATCAATTTGGGTTTCGCCAAAGGCCGCCTAGACAGATGATGTTAACTAGGACTAACCAAAAATATAACAAATACACAAAACCAACAATGTTACGCCATGAATAAATATCATCAAAAGGCTTTATGAAATCCTGAGTTCTAGCTGGTTATGCACTTTGGCTCTCTACCGTGTCTGTGATGAGCAAACTTGAGGCTGTGTTATTGGTTCTTGTCTTGTTATGGGGAACTTGAGATTTTCGAGAATTTTTTGTGATGCACAAGACACCATTTTAAGCCAGATTAGCTAAATCACACAAAGCCTACTATATGCTCAGCTAGGGTTGATTATTGCATGGCTTTTAAGAAAATAGCCACGTAATATTACTCCCCCTTTTACTACCTATTAGTCTAGAACTCATATAATGATGACTTGCCAGTTTGGATTGCCAATCCAAATGATTGAATTCTCAATGCTTCTTTAGACTCTGAAGCTTTAACTTTGGATCATTTGGCCTATTGAAAAGTCAAGAGCCTACTATCCTGTTCCCTCCTCCAGATCAGCCCCGATCTCATCAACAACACTTATGCCACCTTTTTGAGTATTGGCAACTTTGTCCTGCAGTAGTATTTTCACTATAAATTTTCTACCATATAATCCTTTGCGTAGTTAGTGTCTGAAATGAGAAGCATTTAGCATACCTCAGGCATGGGAGCTTTGGAAAGAAGGTGAAGCAGCTGCATTAGAATTGGTGGATCCAACAATAAAAGATTCCTTAGCTCCAAATCAAATGCTGAGATGTATTATTCATGTTGGTCTATTATGTGCAAAAGAACGACCAACTAATAGATTCAGCATGTCTGAAATTTTGTCAATGCTAATGAATGGAACTGCCAAGCCTCCTTTGCTGAAGAGACCTGCATTTTGTTTTAGTGGTCACTCTAATGCAGCAAATGAACATCTTACAAGGCCTATATTTTATTCAGCTAATAGCTTGATCATCTCTGATTTATTTGCGAGATAGAAATTTAATGGTTTCCAAACGAGCATCAGGTTCTTTTCTTCCTCGTCTACAATTTTATGAAATATGCAATGTTCAAATTTTCAACAATAGACATTATATTTAATTGTATACATGTGTTGCTTATATTACACTTTTGGTCCAAGAACTTGAGTGGAGAAGATTAGTCCATTTATTCTGCATGATTATGCAGCAAAGACCTCCCCGTGTAACTCAGTGTCAAAATTATATATTCACATGAAGTTATATGGCACATCTCCGATCAAACATTCATGGGTCATAGCTTTTCAAGCCACCTAAATGTCTTTTATAACATTGATTTAATTTGAATGTAAAAAATTTTTCACATATGTAGATGCATTCCACCCGAGATTAACTCCTCATATGGACTCACACATTAAGTTAATATCAGAATCATGTTCATATGTCCTTATAAGAGGTTTTTTTTTTTTTTTTGAGTAATCTTTGGAATATGTACAAAAAAGACTATAGGAGGCACCAATGAGGAGTGAAATGAATAATTTTAAGCACTGTTAGGAAAGGTAGAAGAAAACCAAAGAGAAACACTTAAGAAAGTTGTTGACCAATTGAAACCTCTTTGTTGACAACATTCCTAAAAGTTTGGTAAATGGTAGAGGACAATAATATCATACAATCCATGTAACCGACCTGCCTAGTGAGATAAGGCTGCTTTTTAGAGTAATCTTCTAAAGACATAATTGACATAATGCACAGAGGGTATAGTTATAGGGTATGTACTAGATAGGGCCACGAGGAGGAGGCAAGGCACATCTAAAGCAGTGAAGCCACTAATGCATTGAACTTGAAAACCTTCTTCATCCTTGAGAATGTACTGTATACACCACACAAATATATACACACAAAAAAAGATTTGTAAGTACAAAAGAGGAATTTTGGTAAGGCAAGAAATTGAAGGCTATGAGACTAGAAATTTTGGTAAGCCTCATTTTATTTCCTGAGAATTCATTTTCTTATCAGGAAAACAAATATGATGAGTCTCTTCCATCTTGTGGTGAAGAATGAAGATTGATAGTAAAATAGTTTATCTCTGAATAATTGTTCTGTTTATATATGTAACTAGAATTCTCGCTCACTCCACCTCTGAATGTTTTTATCCATATCAGTTAGAATTCGGTCTTCACTTAGATTGGTATTTTCAATAGGACCAAAACTATCCATTGATTTACTTAACCCACACCTATATTCCCTATATTGGAACTATGTTTCTATTTATTTTTGTTTTACATTGGTCAAGGGCTCTTTTGCCTTGGAAAATCATACAGTTACCTCATGGGGAGTTAGCTGCACTCACAAATGATATAAATACTACTATTGCATTAGCTATGCTTATGTTGGTAGCATATTTTTATGTGGGTCTTTCAAAAAAAGGATAGGTTATCTTGGTAAATACATCCAACCAACCCCAATCCTTTTACCAATTAACATCTTAGAAAATTTCACAAAACTGTTATCACTTAGTTTTTGACTTTTTGGAAATATATTAGCTAATGAATTAGTAGCTAACTAACAAAAATAAAGGGGGAAAAGCAGTGATAGGGTTGAAGACATGATACACCATTGGGGGAAAGGTCAAAAGTTTTTCCACCAATAGCGAAGAAAATAGTAGGCATTGAATTTTAAGTGTCCCTTTGATTTCAATAATAATGTTAAAAGTGTCTTGGAAAAAGGAATAGATGGAATAATTTAGTAATTTACTATCCATAGAAGAAAGTGATTAATATGCACAGGAAAATAATTTGCATTATTGACTAATTCATATTTTAGAACTTTTAACTCATGTTTTTTTTAAAGAAATGATCCTGTAAAATTTGAAAATTTAATGGAGTCAGTTGATTAATTCATTAATACATTTCATTGAAGTTATATTCACTCCATTTGCCATCATAAGTTATCTTATAAAGTATGTTGTGAAATTTTAAGAGTGATTAATACTTTTTTTAACTAAAATGATCATAGAGCTATATAAAAAATACTTGCAAATGATTAATGATTGGAATTATACAGTAAGATGATAAACTATAATTGCTAAATGTTAAAGTTAGAAAGAACTTGGAATATCAGTTAACAAATTTTTTTATGTGCAGTAATTAAAAATACCTTATAATAATTAACAAATAGAATATGAGATACGAATCAGAGCAATAGTAAGATGGAAGAGTCAAGTATGTCAAAACCATGGCATTTTAAAAAAAATTATAAAGTTTTCACATACCAATTAATTTTTAACAATTGTGTGTGTGTGTGTGTGTGTGTGACAGAGAGGTAATTATATAACCAACTAAAATTAACAACAACAACAGCAACAACAAGCCTTTATCCCACTAGGTGGGGTCGGCTACATGGATTGCAAGACGCCATTGTGCTCTATCACTTATCAAGCTTTTAGGAAAATTATTAATTAACAGATCGCGTTCAATAACTTCCAAAAGTGTTCTCTTAGGCCTTCCTCTACCTCTCTTAATCGGACTCAAAGTTATATGTTCCACTCTTCTCACTGGTGCCTCCCTTGGTCTTCTTTGTACATGCCCAAACCATCTCAACCAATTTTCTACCATTTTTTCCTCAATAGGTGCCACCCTCATTTTTTCGCGTACGTACTCATTTTGAATTTTATCTTTACGTGTATGTCCACACATCCATCGTAACATTTTCATCTCTGCTACTCTAACTTTATGCTCTTGCTGTCCCGTTAGAGCCCAGCATTTACTACTATATAACATTGCCGGTCTGATAGCAGTGCAATAAAACTTTCCTTTAAGTTTATTAGGCACCTTACGATCGCAAATAACTCCTTTAGCTTTTCTCCAATTAAACCACCCAGCTTGAATTCTATGTGAAATATCTCCACTGATTTCGCCATCATTTTGAATAATGGCTCCCAAATATCTAAACTTTTCCACTTGAGGTATAATTTGATCTCCCAATTTCACTTCCAAATTATTGTCGAATAGTCCTTTACCAAATTTACAATATAAATATTCCGTCTTACTTCTACTCAGACGAAAACCTTTCGACTCCAATGTCCTCCTCCATAACTCAAGTTTGCAATTAACCTCTTCTCTTGTATCTACTATAAGAACTATATCATCCGCGAAGAGCATACATTTCAGAATTTCCCCTTGAATATGTTCCGTCAAAACATTTAAGATCAAGTTGAACAAATAAGGACTCAGAGATGATCCCTGATGTAGTCCAATCTTTATAGGAAAATCCTTTGTTTGACCACTAGGCGTTCTTATACTAGTTTTTACCCCCTCATACATATCTTGTATGGCTTTAATATAAGCAATCCGTACTCCCTATTTTTCTAACGCTTTCCAAAGCACTTCTCTTGGTATACGGTCATAAGCTTTTTCCAAATCAATAAAAACCATGTGTAGATCTTTATCTTTACAATGATACTTTTCCATTAATCCCCTTAGTAGATAAATCGCCTCTGTAGTTGATCTACCTGGCATAAAACCAAACTAATTCTCAGAAATACTTGTCTCCAATCTCAACCTGTGCTCAATTACTTTCTCCCACAATTTCATTGTGTGGCTTATGAGCTTAACCCCTCTATAGTTAGTACAATTCTGAATATCTCCTTTATTTTTATAAATAGGAATTAATGTACTTCTCCTCCACTCATCAGGCATTTTCTTGGACCGTAAAATTACATTAAATAACTTAGTTAACCATCTTACCCCTTCTTCACCTAAACATTTCCACGCTTCGATAGATATACAATCAGGTCCGTTGGCTCTACCATTTGCCATTTTCTTAAGAGCTTCCTTTACCTCCTTATCACGTATTATTCGATAGAATGACAAATTTTATTCTCCTTCACCAGTTACTAAATCGTCCAAGTTACTAGATGAACCCTCTCCATTATTGAAAAGTTTAGAAAAGTACGTCTCCCATCTATTTTTAATTTCTTCATCTATAACTAAAGTTCTTCCCTCTTCATCCTTAATACACCTTACCTGTTCTAGATCTCTTGATTTTCTTTCCCTACTCTTGGCAATCTTATAAATATTTTGCTCTCCTTCCTTCGTCTCAAGGCTCGTATAAAATTCTTCAAAAGCTTTAGAACGAGCTTCACCCACAGCTCTCTTAGTTTCCTTCTTAGCCATACGGTACCTCTCCCAATTTTCCTCATTGTTACACAAATGTATGGCTTTAAAACAGTTCTTCTTATACTTGATTTTGTCCTGTACACTATTATTCCACCAAGACTCAACTCTTGGACCAGAACCTTTTGATTCTCCCAAAACTACTAACCAACTAAAATTAACATGAATAGTAAAGATTCTCGTTACTTGAGTAAATGGTTGGGTGTTCGAATCTCAATCCATGTGTATGTAGCAATTTAGTTGGAAGAATTTTACTCTCCTCCTTCCCTATCTCAAGGAAAATAATCTTTACTATTAAAGAAGTAGAGCTATAAAAACACAAAAAGGTAATTATATATAATTTTTCATAATAAGCAGCAAAAGTTTTCTTTTTCTTTAAAAAAATACTCAAAAACCTTATACTTTTTCATAAGAAAGTCCATACACACATCCCATTATTTACTTAAACCATACCTGTAGTTTGAATTTATTGGAAAAAAGGTTCTCAATGCCTAACAAAATCTCAAACTAATGAAACCCAAAAAATTTACTAAAATTACTTCACTGAAATAGCTAGTTACAACCTCTTTTATAAGTTTAGAAGAAGAAAAAAAGAGATAAGAACTAACTAAAATCAGATATAGTGAAAGTATAACTACAAGACACAAAAATGATTCTCTGACTTTCGAGAGGTCAAGTGCTCTCCCAGCTACCACTTGCCTGATTGCTTGCCTTTCTCTCGGCCACATTGCCCTAGATAACTATCTCATCACTCCTCTTGAGGTTATTGGGCCTTAGGCTTGCTTCAGTGCCCTTATCTCCTCTCTTATCAATGTCTTTGTTATAAACATGGTCCAAGGGAGTAAC